AGATCTTTCGTCGCGTTGAATCAATTTACTTGTGGACAAAAAAGAAAGTTTCCACCAGAACATGATAATTTTCGTAGTAGTAATTTCTCTCGTGAGACATTTATATGTCTTTCGAATAAATACATTCGTTCTGCAGAGAATTATATGAGGCTCCGGTTTTATCAAGTGAATGTTATTGAGTAACGCATATTTTTGTCCAATAAACGCTCATAATTTCTACGGAACAAATGATAATTTCAAGAGGAAACAACAATTTTCTTGCCGATAACTGTCTTATTTGCAAGAATAAATAATTTCGAGGGGACAATTTTTTTTGGGAAAAAAATATTCTTTCCTCGTCAATGTATTCTTTCTGTGGTATAAACCTATGGAGTTCTCTCAGATCAAATGATTGTCGTACAATAGATTATATTTTTTCCTGCCAACAGTTCGAATTCTTCTAGCGATATTTATGATGATCACGACGAAAATTTAATTTTCGTGAAAGATTTTAATTTTCTTCAAGTAAATCTGTTCAAATATTCTCACGTGGAACATATAGTTTTCCAACAGAACTTATTTTATCTCTCAGTGTATCTACTCGGTCCGTAGCTACTTGGGACGACGACAGTATGAATTTTTGAGAGATGCCTCTCTGGGTTTCGCCGATGACTATGACCCGTCTGGCAATCCCGTTGGCGGTATGACGAATCTCCTCTATATTTCATGAGCACTAGAGACTCCATTACGGGGGTTGTGAAGAGGTTACCTGTTAGACATTGATTTTACTCTGGAGACGGCGTAAATTCAGCACTGCGCATAAAAACTAGAGTCTTCAAGACGTCTTAATTTAAATTAAATTTCGAATGTCTTAAAATAAGACTTTCTAAATTGATTAGTCTATTGATGAAAAGTTCTAACCCACATGTTAACGCTATTATAAAATTATCGCGCAATAAAAATAGATGAATATTTGAGAATGAATGTTTAAAAAAAATCTGGAATATTTTGTCTTTTTTTTCTTTTCCAATTGTTCATTTTTGCGAATTCTAGGAGAATTTGACCTTGACAGTACATTGACGCGTGCTGTCGATTTAACGTAAGACGATAGCCCGTCTCCTTCATCCCAGTATAAAATTCGTAACCGCGACATGATGCCACGCACGCCGCAAAATCGCGAGGCGTGACCGCAGGGAGTAAAGTAAGAGGAGGTAAAACGGGAGAAAAAGGAGTAAAATGAGAGGAAGAAAATAAATGGAGAAATGGGAGGAGGGATTTTCTGCAAATGGTTACGACAGTTTCAACCCCAACGCCGGCCAGCGAGAGTGCACAGCTGGTCGGGTTTACCTATAAATAGAATCACCCGAAACCCCCTGAATCTGATGCAACAGCCGGCTCTCCCGCTGCTGAGTTTCACTGGTTATTTCGTGAATTGTTGGAGTGGTTATTGACCCAGTAGAATTTTCATGCTGATGATGAATAATTAGACATGTGTGAGGAATATTTTCGAGAGGACTGAGTCGAGGTTTTTTAGTCGTTTTGGATTTTTCTGTTCATTTCAAGAATATTCTTTTTGTGTAATCATTTCAGTAAAAAAATTAATTATTTTCCCGATTTATGTGATTCTCTGTTAAACATTTTTACTGTATTTTTTACTGTATTGGGAAATTTTAAGGGATTTCGTTATTGAAAATGATTAGAAATTAGGAAAATTCCGATTTCATTTTAACAATATTCTTTTCATATATTCATTTCAATAAAAAAAAATTAATTATATTTCAGATAAATCCCGTGTCAGAATGAATTAAACAATTCGTTTGATTCTTTATTAAACATTTTTGGCTGAAATTTCCTGTACATTTCTCAGAATTTTTTAAAACACCATAGTTGTAACAAATTTTTTTAGCAATTTCCTCATTAAAAATTTAAAATTTTATGGAAAAATCTGTGAAATCTGCGAATTTTAGATCAATTCTTCTACGAAAGTGATTAAAAATTAGGAAAATTCTGCATAAATTGAAACTTATATTCATTTACACAATATCTTTACTCACATATAATCTCATATACTCACTTCAATAAAATAATTTTCATATCATTTCCCAAATAAAATCCTCTATTAGAATAAAATAAACGATTCAATAAATGTTTGACTGAAATTAGCGATACATTTGACGGAAATGTTCATCACATTACACCAATAAATTTATCAGAGCAAAAATTCATCCGCTGAATTTACCAAAACTAATTTCCAAATTTTTTCAATTCGTCAATTGGCTGTTATCCCGTTATTTTATCTTGTCATTACATATTTCGGTTGAATTGGACAGAAGGTACGTGAAAAAGTCCCTCGCAATCTCCCACCGGCGCGGCCCGGCGCAGGGTCACGGCCGGACATCGTCTGTTCTACCTCTACTCGGATTTGCCCTCACCCACACTGCATCTGTAACTCGTATTCTCCACCTCGTTTATTTTTTTGGGAACCTTTTAACTCTCCCTTTCTTGCTCTCTTTCTCAGCATCTCTACTCGTAAAACTACATTTTATTACGAGGCGAATGTAAATCATCGTACTTTGCGCCTTTCGTGAATCCAACCGGCACACGTGCGCAACTGTAGAGCACTTTGCAAGGGCAAGGGAGTTTTATGTTTATTTTCGGTGATTTTTTTTCGGGGTTGAGGAGAAAAAATTTCAACGGGAGGGTTTATAAGTCTTTAGTGCTCTTTTGACTAATTGAGGGGTGGGGTTTTATTGTCACATGTGACACTTCATATTAAGCACGGATGAACTTTTAAAAGTAGAACATTTTTATTAATTCATAAATCATTTTTTGAAGATTTAAAAGCAAAAATCTGAATTTAACCATAATTTTCTTGACTGAAGGATAATTCATTCATTTATTTACGGGGCATTTTTCCCCTGCGGATTTTCTCATTTAATGATTTTTGTTATGAGAATGCATAAAGAATTTGTTTAAACTTGAAAAACATAAATGTGAATTCAAGCATAATTTTTGTAATTGAAAGATAATTAATTCATTTATTTAAGATGAAGAGAAATCGAAGAATAGAAATTATTGAAAAAAATAACAGGGAGTGAGTGGATTAACTAGTCTATTTCCCAAAATTGCCAAAGATTAATTTTTCCCATGAAGATTGAGGAATTGCATCACTCGTGAGTCAACTGTCACTCGAGAAATGAATAATACCGAAATAACACTCTCCAAACTTCTGAATAATTCCACAATTTATTAATCACCACATTAAAATTATTTTACAACCAAAACATTGAATTCGTGAGTACAAACATTTTGAAGTTGACAACGACCTGTCACTAATTTCTAACAAACAACATCTATGAAAATAATTTATCAACTTGTTCCGATGTTTATGGAAGGCGTGACGAATTGTCGGAAGTTGTAACAAGGTCGGAAACTAATACAAAGTCTCGCCGAGGAAAATAACGAGTTCTCTAACAATATAAATAACGTCAATTATTCCCTGAATAAATAAATAACTTAGCATCAGTTTCACTAAAAATACGTTTAGACTTGACAATATCTCCGAAAAATACAAAAATCTATGTCTAATTTTTTTCTGAATTGACCAATAATTCCACTTCAATACAAAAAATATTTTATGGAGCTGAAATTAGCGAAAAAGTCGCCAGTGGAATATTTTAATTAGATAAATCTAGGAGTGTGCAAATATTTTTTAGTGATGGTTTGACTCTCAACCCGGAAAAACCCCCGAATTGAGTTTTCCACTAATGAATACTCCGCAATTCTATTTCAGAATAATTAAAAAATCCCTGATTTCCTCACTTTCTAAGCACAACTCACGAGAACGTGAAAACTATCTCCAAAAGTACAAAAATCATCACAATTTCTTTCTTAATTGAACAATTTTTTCCACTTCAAAATGATAAATATCGTTAAAAAAAAATATGAAGATTCAATTCGCGCGAATCGAAGAGTGCTCAAATAATTTGAAGTCATGTGCAAACGCTTTCGCACTCGAAAAACATTTGTACACATGATTGTTTGACTCATTTCAAAGTCCCTGATGTCTCAACTTTCCGAGCAAAATCTCCACAATTCGTATATTTCCTTCATGACTCGCAAGAACATAAAAACGATCTCCAAAAATACAAAAACCTCACCATTTTTTTCTGAATTAAATAATAATTCCACTCCAAAACGATCAATATCGTTCAAAAAATATGATGATTCAATTCGCGCGAATGTGAGTGTCCAAATATTTTCAAATCACGCACAAACTCTTTCGCGCGTGAAAAATATTTGTACACATGCTTATTTGACTCTTAACCCTCAAAATCCCCTGGAATAAATTTTCCACCGGCGAATCTTTCTCTAATTTCAGCTCACATCTCCAACATTTCATGCCTACGAACATGAAAACTCCAAAGATACAAAAATCAACCCAATTTTTTTCTTAATTGAACAATAATTCCACTCCAAAAAGATAAATATCTTTAAAAAATACGAAGATTCAATCCAGACGAATCTAAGAGTGTGCAAAAAATTTCAAGTCACGCACAAACGCTTTCGCACTTGAAAAACGTTTGTCTCTTGACGCTCAAGACCCCCTATATTAAATTTTCCACTGGCCAATTTTCACAAGAGCATGAAAACGATCTCCGAAAAAACAAAAATCAACACCAATTTTTTTCTGAATTTAATTCTAATTCCGCTCCAAAACGATAAATCTCGTTCAAAAAATATTAAGATCAAATTCCGACGAACGTAACAGTGTCCAAAAACTTTCAAGTCACATACAAGCTCTTTCGCACTTGAAAAACAATTCTCCATATGATCTCCTTCGACTCTCAACCCCCAACTGAATTTTCCTGAAAACTAGTTTCATCATCTAAACTCCCGCTCCCTCCCGCCCCATCAAAACTGCCATTCCTCCGCGACTCAGAATAACATAACAACGATCACGAGAACGCGCCATCCAACTCTCCCCATAACCCAAAACCCCAAATACCAATGGTACTCACGATTGCGAGAGGGATGCTGAGCACTCCTGCTCCGAAGTACCTGTTGCAGTGCTGCGTAGAGATCGAGCATCAGCTGCTCCAACTGTTGGCCCTGCGTCTCAGCCTCGTCCTCGGAGGGCAGAGCAAAGGGAATAGCCATCGTCCGAAGAAAAAAAATCTCCCAACAATTCCTCAAAAAGAGTCTCTCACTGCACTCACCCCCAAAAACCTCAAGTTCTCAAGTTCCTCAACGAAAAGTCTGTCTGCAATGAACCACCCTCACGATACCACAAAATACTATCATACTTCAATGCAAAAACTTGGTTATCACCGAGGCAGAACACGTGGTCGATTGAATAAGAAAAGAATTCACGGTTCTCACGTCAAAAATAATCAGAACACGTGCCCCACTCTGAGCAAGAGATCAACTCGACGGTGAAAATAATGAGTCTCACTGATTGAAACGCCGTCTGAAGCGCCGATAGGGTGGATCCTCGAATGGATCAATTTCCATAAGTCTCCCTGATCGCGTCTCACGCGAATTCACCCCCGAACAACAGAAAAAGACTCGGAAAAGTCGAGTGAAGTCCACCAATCACTCGCTCGAAATTCACTCGTGTGCTCTGAGTCCTCACACCACAGATTCACGATACTTTCACTCAAAATGTCTTTCACACGTCTATTGCAGCCGTGTTTACTCGGTTAAATCCAGATAACAGTGTTATATCGTTTGCAACGATTTATATTTTTTACTAAATTGTTGGGTAAGCACGAGATCTCGACTGAGTCCAGCGAAACGCGTCTAGTCTCCTCGAGGTCTGATGTGGCAATGATCCAGTGCATTCGGCAAACGTTGCTCCCTAGCGTCAGCACACACACTCTGTCTACCCCCACCCCGGCGACTCGCAAGTTGAATACACTGGGGTTTGTACAATATTTCCAACGACACGCTGGGTTCGCTGAATCGTGGTGGGGGAGTTTGTGCGCGCGCACCTCGTGGACCCGATGGAGAGTACAACGCACGAGAGAGCGCGCGCATTTTTTTTTTCATCAGGTTTTTTTCTGATTGAGGGGGAGGGGGCGACGGTCAATTTGGGGGGGGGGGCGGGGAAGG